CTGGTGAGGAAAATTAGATTTAGACTGAGTTTCTACTATAGTTCATAATGAAATTTAAACTTTCATTTATTTCACTAAACTCCAAAAGTTTAGAGAAGAAAAAAAAATAATAATAATAATTTGCTTAAATATTTCATTTCTGATACAAAATTCATGAAATTTACCTCTTTAGCAGAATGAATTACATAAAAGCAAATATGCCAGTCATTATAATTATTTGTAGCACATTTAAAAACATGCTAATTCATCAAGATGACTTATGGCAAGAAAACCCTGCAACTATCCTGATTTAAGAACAAGAATTATTGGCTCAAATAATAATATACACATAACAGGGGAAGTATGGCCACATGCGGATGATGGTTTCAATTTTACATTTGTTACATCATAAGGTGGGCCTGTGGGCTTTCATAAGATACATATACCATCAATAATAGGTAAAATAAAACACAAAAGCCTAGACCTCAAACAGGTCTAAATAAAATGCCTTCCTGTACTTCCTATGCAATTTTGTTTATAATTCATGAGACATAACTATTAAAAATCAGAAACAAGAAATAGTTTCTTTAATATAAAGGGCCATAGCACAAAAAAGAGAAAAAAGAATGAAACACTCACTACCAAGAAAACCAACATTTAAAATACAATATACAAAATATGTAGCTAGCATATTTCCATGGGTTTTAAAACATATGGATAAACAACATAAAATAATACTCATCAAAAGAACTACATACTGATTACACTTTAATAAAGTTGCAAAATGAATCTGCAACATATTTTCATTGTGAGCTTATGTCGCTTTAACATCACAAAATATTTAAAAGTTGTTCCCAGTATGAGGTCCTTTTGAAGGTATTCATATATGGGTGGTATGTGCACTGACCTAGGATAACAATGACCTCCAATGCTTCATCTGATGTGAGAACTTAAATGATCAGAGTGAGGTACATACTTTACTCCTATAAAAGTGCTTACCTCGAAACTGTTGCACTGAGATACATGAGTTACACCAGGCAGACGATGTCAAAATTTATTTTAAGGATTAAAAAAAAGAAAAAAAAAATGAAGGCGGAAAAGCAATTTCAATGTACAAAATATGCTACTTCTTTCTTACAGAATCTTGACTCTTGCTCTATTTCCCCATCTTGCACACACGTAGCTTTGAGTTTTCTATACAAGAGCAATAAAGAGAAAGAGGGGGAATACAAGAAATAATTTTGGGGAAGAAAGTAAAGAGGAGAAATGGGAAAAAGAGCCGGTATAGGAGGATGAGAAAGTAGGAAGAATTGTAGGAGAAGAAAAGCTGATATATGCTTTGTATGTCTTTGCTAATAATGTATTCAATAATCTAATTTTATCACTAGATTGTAATGAGTAAAAATATAACAATGCCTTTAATTCTAATATCAGAAGACTCTATATTACAATATTTTTCAAATCACTTTTTATAATTCCAGCCTTTGATAGTTGCATCTGTTTTATAACTGTAAAGCAATGGTCACACAAGTCTTCTCTGTCACACCGACACACACACATGCATGCAAACAGATAGAGATACTGACACAGTGAGACAGATACACACACTCTCTCACACACTCACTCACTCATTCACACACACACACACACACACACACACACACACACACACACACACACACACACACACACACACACACACACACACACACACACACACACAGATATACAGTCAAACAGACAGACAGACAGAGACACACACACACACACACACACACACACACACACACACACACACACACACACACATAAAGTAAAGTCACAGACAGACACACAAACAAAGAGATAGACAGTCAAAAAGACTGACACACACACACACACACACACACACACACACACACACACACACACACACACACACACACCATAAAGTCACAGACAGAACACAAACAAAGAGATAGACAGTCAAACAGACTGACACAGACACATAGACACAGACACACACACAGACACACACATAATGTAAAGTCACAGAAAGACACACAAACAATGAGATAGACAGTCAAACAGACTGACACAGACACAGACACAGACACACAGACACACAGACACACAGACACACAGACACACACACACACACATACAGAAATTAATAATAATAGTAAATAGAAGTCTCTTCAGAAATTTATGTGATGTACATTGAGGACTTACTTTTTGTGCAATGCAAACAATACATGTTAGAATACTTTAGCACAAACACTGGTGATCAGTGGTCATTGCACAAACCAGCATAGATACAAGGAAGGTAATCACATTAAAATATCACAGTGAAGCGATCCATTAACTGCATGATACACAGTGATATGACATGACACATTAATTTCTGTTTTGACAATAGAGCAGTCTCTTATACCTTTTGTCTCAAAACACATTATCAATGATGAAAAAAATGCTAGCAAAATACAACCTAAATTGCATATTGCCAATAATCACATTATAAATATAATGAAAATAATATTAAATGCAATTAAATATAACCCAGTCCATCATACCTAACTATCGGAGATATTTTTTTGGCTGCTATGTAAAATTTCAAATATCTGATGATAGTTTCTTCAGCAAGTAAGTGATTTGTAAAAATTTAGCTTCTAAGTTACAATTCCTCTAACAATTTTATAATATGCATTTTCTAAATGAACAAAAAAGTGAACATTTTGGAAATATAAAAGTGTTCTACCTGTAATAAACACTATTTATTTCTTTAATAAACACCAAAATTTTAAAAATCAAATTATATATAAAATATCAACTGTGTCTTCTCTTCTACCAGTTACAACACTCTTCAAGATATTAACAATTGAAGCCCAATCTTTTTTAAACTCAAGTATCTCTTTACAATTTTGGAAATCATACTTATATGCACAATGCTATACTTGTGATTCATCATTTGCATTTAGTGACTGAACATACTGTGTAAAAAATATCATTTTCTTTCCTAAAACATTAGATGAAAGAACTACCTACAGGCCTTCAGATAATTCTTCACTGTCAATGAACAGGATTATATACAATAACACAGATTTTACAAATATATGGATTAAATTAGGGAGGCAGGCAGAATAAATACATTGCAGTCCATACAATACAAATAAAAAATTGGGTATCTTAAATTTTGAAAATGGCAGACATCATATGAGGGTTTCTTATATGGGTACCAATGGAGTGCTTTATTAGTAAGCGTTCATTAAAACAAGCAGGAATTCAAGGGGAACACCTATCTCATAGAAGGGACTTGTACACATATTAAGTACCTAATGACACATTTTACCTCTAATAAACTGATTTGCTTTCTCAATTAGGATAGTAATATGCTCTTATTTTTTTTCCTGTGACAACAAAAAATGTGTGCAAAATTATCCCACTCATCACTCTTTAATGAACCTTCTTAATGAAAACAAATAAGAAATTTATAGCACTTTAAGTCAATGTAATAATACTCAAAACACAATCTTTTCTTAAATAATGAACCCACTGCTCATCTCCTAATATCATAGTCTCATAAGCTCATAATCTTCACTTTTCAAACACTTGAACATTATAAAAAACAGATTCACATGTAACCATCTGCTTCAGTAGCCCTAAACTTGCCAGGCTTGTTTTCCTAAACAAATGATAATTCAAAAAAATAAATAAAGTGAAACTATCAGATATACTGAAAGCAGGATGCGTTATGTGCATTATAAGCCCATATCAGCTTTAAAAAGTGTACAGTGAAAAGATATAAACTTTTCAAAAGTCGAGTGCTGTGTGTAAGCAATACCACAAGAGTATTTTCACACAAGAACTCTCAAATATCTCTTAATGATGTGGATACACTATAATTGTGTACCCGTGTCTTGGTCATGATCGCACGGAACAGAATCAGTGTACTACCAATACCTATCACAAAACATTACCTGTATGCAGAGGGGGGTCAACAGGGGGGAGGGGGGAGCTGAGGGGTAGTTGCCCCCCATAGACTCTGTGTGCTGCTATCAAGGCCTGGCTTGCCCCCCAAAGGCCCACAATTTTATTTTATCTTATTTTACTGAATTACATCTATACAGGTCTAGTTATAGCTTATATATACCCTTGAGAATATCTTATATTTCAGGGGGGGTTTTCATTATGCTCGCCTACCCCTCCTTCCCCCCCCCACCCAAAAAAAAGATAAAAAAAAGAAAATGTTGAAATGCCCCTCCCTGTAAATTACTACAGCTGTACAAGAAATCACAAAACCTATCAAGTTTATTCACAATGCAGAATTTGGGCTCAGTTTTTATCAACTACATCTGTCCCAACTATATTACAAGTCCAAATGAGATTTAACACATTCATCATTGTGTGATAAGTGATTAGGGAACATTCATATTTCAAGTAAATCATAATCATGTGGGAACAATGAACATCAATCATAGCATCAACAATAAAGGTAAAGATTTGTTAAATACAGGATAATTTTTTTTAAATACTTTCTTTAGGTTTATTAACATGCTTTAGATAGATGTTTAAACACTTCTGTTTTACATTAAGAGTTGCTCAATAAGACGGAAATTTTATCCTGTAAATAACAAATCTACACTTCACTCTTACCCTTTCCAGTTCTTCCTGTTCAAAACTTGCCTCCCCCTACAAATGTAAGAATATATGCTTTCATAAGTATCACCTTTTAAATTGCTAACATTAACTTATCCATGATTAAAAATCCTATGCAAGAACAACCAACATTAGCACGAAATAGAGTATCACACTACAATAAAACTAGTTGAATTAAAAAAGTGTATCCAAAAATAGTGGAAGGAGTAATTACTGTAAAGAAGGTGAAAAGTTCTGTTGGGGAAAACCTTTCATTCAAGCCGCTAATAATTATGCTTAAAAAGTCAAACAAACTGCATAGTATTCACATGCACATGACTCTGCATGTGTGTGCAAATATACATTATATATATATATATATATATATATATATATATATATATATA